TTATCTCTCACAGAGATACCCTGACAGACACACAATGCATTGCAGACACTCTCCCAGGTTGAAAATACACAGATATACACTCACACACACACATACATATATGCATTCCAGATATTCTGTTGGGATACACAACCACAGATATACACGCATACATGTATACACTTCAATACACTCTGTTAAACATACACACGTAATCACACTTATAGACACATACACACTGCTACACATATTCACACGCACTCTTCTATACACATACATGATAGGAGAGAGTAGCACCTAAAGGAATTCTCACATGTTGATAAATATGTAATGAAATAAAAAAGAGAAAATATAATAAAATATAGTGCAGAATCTTTGGTGCAAGTGGGTAGAAGAGAAAAGGAAATGTACTTACAAAGTATAGAGCTTAAAGGGACACTATAGTCCAGTGATGGTGAACCTTTTGAGCCTGGTGTGTCAAAATTCGTCAAAAAAAACAAAAAACCAAAACCTAGCTTAACTCAGGTGCTGTGTCACATCTAGAAATATTTAGAATTTTGTGATATTTGTAGCTCTAGTAAAAAAAAATAAGTTATTTATTAAAAAAGAAAAAACAAATCACTCTTTACCATAGTGACTTTTTTGTTGCTGAATTTCATTTGCTAAATCTGCAATTGAAGGTTGGTATTTCATACACTTCAAGCCCAAGCAAGCGCTACTAACTTGATCTGTCAGTCGGTTTCTTTTCTTGGTTTTAATATTATTTAACGCTGAGAATAAGGTCTCCCAAAAGTACATGGAGGGAAAAATTGTGAGTAAAGCCATGGCTAGATTTTTCAGGGTGCTAAAAGTGTCCGGTAATCGGTTCCAAGCACTACAAATCTCCTGTTCGTAGTAGCACTCTTCTTCCTTCTCCAAGCGATTCCTTTCCAGATTCTCAAGTTTTGACCTCAAGTTGACAAACACTTGAAACCAGATGCTGTCATGAAATTCTGCAAGGTGCATCTCCAAATCATCAATTTGCATCCATTGGAAACCATTAAATTCCAAAGTATTGCAGACTACTACATCCGAATACTTAATTATTTTCATTGTCTGTTCCAGGCTTCTAAAGTGATTAAATCTTTCGCCGAACTGGTCAAGTAACGAGTTTACAATCTGCTGGTACTTTATATTCATGGGCTCCTTTTCATTTTGTACAGTTGCGTTGGTCTTGTTGAAATACTTTGTTATTCGAGGAAAATACTTATACGTTTTAGTCTCTACATCTTGCTTAAAAATGGTAAGTTTACTTTCAAAAGCTTTTATGTATCCAAACATAACGTCAATACTTTTGCCGAAACCTTTAAGTTCAGTTCATTCATATGAACAGAAAGATCTTTGCTGACCCACTTATTATCATTGATCTGAGGAGCGTTTGCCAGATCCTTATCCGCAAGAAATACCTTAAGTTATACAAAGTACTCCACAATTCACTCAAGTACTTTTCGTCGGCTCAGCCATCTCACATTATTGAATATCAGCCGTCCACTGCAGGTTGAATCAACTTCCTGTAAAAGTGCAGAAAATGCTCGCTTGTGAAGGGGTCGAGCAGCTATTAAATTCACTATTTTTGTTACAACTGACACTAAATCATCTAATTCTGTGAATCCTGCCTTGGCACATAACACCTCCTGATGGATAATGCTATGAAAAGGCACAAGTGGACGACCAATAACTTCCATAAACAATTTCACAAATCCTACATTTTTCCCCACCATATTGGGTGCCCCATCTGTCATCACTGAGACAACTTTAGAGATATCAATGCTTAGGTCACGGAATGTTTTTATAACTACCTTACATATTTTGCTTCCTGATGTACTTATTGGCACAGATTCTAACTTTATCAACTCTTCTCTCATTGTGAGACCATCAGAATATCGAGCAATAATGTCCAATTTGATGTGACATCAGTAGTTTCATCAAGAGAAATTAAAAAATATTTACAATTATTTAAGTCTGGTAACTCAGAAATTCGCTTAATAATTGCATCTTTATTCTTCATATCATGAAATAGAACTGGCGCACATCTTAGAAGAGTTTCTTTATTAAATTCTCCTTCACTGAGGGCTTTTCCATGCTGAGCTATGGAGTGAGCAATGCAGCAACTTACTGATGTTAAATTTGTAGAGCCTCTTACAAATTTAAGGATGGAATTTGATTGACTCTTATAGAGGTGTAGCTGCATGGAAATGTATTCCTTCCTTTCCTCTTCACTTTTTTTTCAAGAGCTGGCGATGATTAGTTTTGAAATGTCTATTTATATTCCACGTTCTGCTTACTACCGTTTCATTACACAGTATGCAAAAGGATCTGTTGTTTCTGTCGATAATGCCATAGATCTCGGCCCATATGTCTTGAAAGGGTCGACTACTGCTTCTACCACTTCGTTTATTATTTAATCTTGCTTTTTTATTTTTTGGGTTCTCCATCAAAGGGCTGCGACAATAAATAAATATATAAATAAATAAATAAAAATCACAGCATTTTCTATAAAAGGTTAATAGGTTTCTTAACTCTGTAACAGTGTTGTTGGACTGACTCCTGTTACAAAATAATTCAAAGCACTACACTACGTACAAAGAACAAATATATGGGGATTGTGGTGAACATCTGGAATATTTGGGCGGAATTGGGTGGATTCACTGCCATCTAATGGCGAACGTTTGCAAACATTTTCTGGCAAGCCTGATCGAGTGCATCCATCTGCCACTAACGCACCTGATCACACGTAAGTACACTCAAGGACGCAAGCAAGAAATGACCGGAGCGCGTACAAAGTAAGTGCAGCGCGTGTTGACTGTTCTTGGGCGATGACCGTCCGTAAACAATGTGTGTCACCCAAAATGTCTTGGCGTGTCACATTTGACACACGTGTCATAGGTTCGCCATCACTGCAATAGTCACAAGAACAACTACAGGTTAAAAGAGCACTATAGTCACCTAAATTACTTTAGCCAAAAAAAGCAATTTTAGTGTATAGATCATTCCCCTGCAATTTCACTGCTCAATTCACTGTCATTTAGGAGTTACATCACTTTGTTTCTGTTTATGCAGCCCTAGCCACACTTCCCCTGGCTATGATTAACAGAGCCTGCATGAAAAAAAAAGTGGTTTCACTTTCAAACAGATGTAATTTACCTTAAATAATTGTATCTGAATCTCTAAATTGAACTTTAATCACATACAGGAGGCTCTTGCAGGGTCTAGCAAGCTATTAACATAGCAGGGGATAAGAAAATCTTAATTAAACAGAACTTGCAATAAAGAAAGCCTAAATAGGGCTCTCTTTACAGGAAGTGTTTATGGAAGGCTGTGCAAGTCACATGCAGGGAGGTGTGTCTAGGGTTCATAAACAAAGGGATTTAACTTCTAAATGGCAGAGGATTGAGCATTGAGGCTGCAGGGGCATGTTCTATACACCAAAACTGCTTCATTAAGCTAAAGTTGTTCAGGTGACTATAGTGTCCTTTTAATGTAGTAGTTCTGGTGAGTAAATCATGTCCCTGCAGGCTTTTTGATGTAAAGATTGTCTTTTCAGAGAAATGTGTAGAGGTTGGTTACTGTAGTTTGGACTGTATCCCTTCTTTCCTATCTTCTACTCCCCTTACTGCTGCTCTGCCTAATAACAACAGGAAAGTCCCCCTTTTTACTATCTTTATACATTAACCCCTTAAGGACCAAACTTCTGGAATAAAAGGGAATCATGACATGTCACACATGTCATGTGTTCTTAAGGGGTTAAAGGGATCCTATAGTGCCAGGAAAACAAACCCATTTTCCTGGCGCTATAGGTTTAATAGGTCCCCTCTCCCTCACGCCCCCTCTCCTGAATTCACCCATGCTCTTGAATTACCTGGCTCCACCCACGCTCCACGCTGGCCGAGCGCATTAGACCTCCCCATAGGAGAGCATTATACAATCCTTTCCTTTGGGGAAAATCTGACGCTGGAGGTCCGTGAGGACGTCCAGCATCAGATAACGGAGCAAAAGTCAGTTTGGATTCTGGAAGCGCCCCCCAGTGGCTGTCTGATAGGCAGCCACTGGGGGCAGACTTACAGCTGCAATGTAAACATTGGAGTTCTCAGGAACAGCAATGTTTTACATTCCAGCACTAAGTGCAAAAGGGTCACAGCACCCAGACCACTTCAATGGGTGCCTACAGTGTCCCTTTAAGACCGGTTGTAACTATCTGATTTGATAAAAAGTAAAAGCATGCATTGTTAAAGTACACAATATAACCTGTGATATGCAATAAAATCTTTGGAGAAGTCACCGTGAACAACATGTGTCTGAGTTATGGTGGCCTCTTCCCAGCGCTGTAAAGATATTTCAGGACAAACAAGAGATTGCTAAATTACATAGAAGTCCATGGGAAAGAAGTGATCAATTATTTAAAGAAGCCTAATTTTATTCTTACAGAAAGGAACGTAAGAAAAAAAACAAACAGTTTTTGTTAGAATAAACTGGGGTCCAGAGGGAGAGCAGTAAATGGTGGGATTCAAAGTAAACATATTGAAAAACTCTGAATAATTAAGATATTTTAGTACTTATAGTTACAGAATAGATTAAACAAATCAGCATGTTTTACTGCTTGATAAGATTGTTTGTGAAACAAAAAAAAACACAACCGATTTTATTAGAAACATATACAATAAACATTTAATATCTCTTTACATTCATTTGTGCCATTCCCTTGCAACATATATACATATATATATATATATTTATATTTACATACATTTATAAAACTCTAATTATTTTGTAGATTCTTGATGTAATAGACATTTGTTCATATATTTTCTGGACAGAATTACTCTGACAACAAAATAACATTTTAACTCTGTGCAAAACATTCCAATATTATTTACAGGTATATTCAATAAAATAAACTGACGATAAATAGCCAAATTTTGACCAGGGCTTAGTTGGGAATTTTTTCCCAAGCAGATATTTTTGATTCATTTTTTTGCTTCAGATTTAATTAGCAAAAAATCCAAATTTAGTGGATAAGCCTGTTAGAGCATCATTGTAATTAAAATCATATTTATTCTCTATACTTATACATGAGTTATTTTATGGCAATGCTTTCTTTTCTCTCTCTAGAATTAATCACAGGTTTAGTCAGTAAAATGAGAATTTAAGTGAATTTCAAATTTAAGATCAAAGTAGCCGATCTGGAAAAATTCTCTAAGCCAGCTTTGCTTTCTATTCAGCTACTCTGGCCTTAAATTTAGAATTCATTTTGAATTCACCTTGAATGGAATCATAGGGGTTAAAATAATTGGCATTGCGTTCTTCACCTGTGCTCCTGTAAATTAACCTCTATAAATTCTACCATAGAATAAAAAAATAAAAAAAACTAGCATAATAACGCTGGTAAAATTGTGTAAACAGACAGGTACTGTTGCAGATACATGCAGTTTTATGCTGTCCGTCACAGCTAGTCAAGCAACATCCACATGCTAAGAGTATTAAAGCGACACTGTAGGCACCCAGAACACGTCAGCTCATTCAAGTGGTTTGGGTGCAAACTCCCATCACTCTTAACCCTGAACATGTAATTATTGCAGATTTTATAAACCGCAATAATTACCTGCTAGGGTTAACTCCTCTTCTAAGCCACTTCCCGGGTGGATAGGTAACTTTTGGTCGCCTAAATGACGCCGGGCGTCCTCACGTTATGTATGAGGACTTCCAGCATCACCAGAATCCCCATAGAAAAGCACTGAATAATTCCCTTTTATAAGGAAATCCTAACGCGAGCGCATGCACATTAGATCTCCCCCGCCGACTGACGTCAGTGGGGAGGAGTGTGGGAAGAGCTGAGCCAGCGCCAAGGGACATCGGTGCTGGAGCCAGGTAAGTGACAGAAGGGGTTATTAACTCCTTCTGCATCATGGGGGTGGGGGGGATGGGGGCCATTGCCTTAAAGGGAAGCTATAGTGCCAGGAAAACAAGTTTGTTTTCCTGGCACTATAGTTTCCCTTTAAGGCAATGGCCCTCTGATTCACTATTGGCAGTTGTCTAGAAGGCTTTCGAGTAGCTTCTCACAGTGAGTAAAAAGAGTAAATGGGATTTAGTTAGGATAACGTCTTTCAATCACATATTAACATGGTACAGACCAGGAGTAGGGAACTCCTAACTTTGGCACTCCAGCTGTTGCGGACTCCATTTCCCCTGATGCTTTGCCAGCACTGTGGCTGTAAGAGTATTATGAGAGATGTAGTCCACAACATACGAAGTGCTGAAGGTTGCCAACCACTGGTATAGACTCTTGTGGTGTAGATTTCACCATGGAGCATGGAGTCACCTTGAAAGAAGACGAATTGTAATTTATCCTAAAATGTATATGCCATTTTTTATCTACAAATCTAGCAGTGTTTGTAATTAAATGTTTCTTTAAAAAAAAAAAAAAATTAAATTAAAATAGTATACAGTTTTTAAATGGGAAGGTTATTATCATTGTGACAATAAAATATGGTTTTACCATTTACTTTTTTGGTATAAGCAAAAGTTAAAATCATGCTGGTAACTCAGCTGAATTAAATGAACACGTCATTTTACAGGTTTTGATTTTAATTTAATATTTTATTTTATCTCTCTTTTTCCCCTTGTTTTTATCTATTTTTTTTTAAATTCTCCTTATTTATTAGTTATCCTTAATAAAATTACCAACTACTCCTTCTTATAGGCAGCATGATATTGGGCAATTGGCGAAGCCCAAGATCATGTTTTAACATCTTGAAGTTTATTACATTTAATAAAACTGAATGATTTTTACATAATATATATATTTATTTATTTTTCGACAATTTCACTTTTTTCTCTGTCTGAGCAGCCATATTGGCAGACAATACTTTTATCTGACCAACTGCTGTTCAACCTAACTTGCCTGCAGCTTCAGTTTCACACTGAGCATTTACAAACAGCAGTCAAATTAGGTCGAGCAGCAGTTGGTCAGATAACAGTAGAATCTGACCCAATATGGCTGCTCAGTCAGATAAAAATAGGGATTGAAAAAAATAAATCAGTATACAGCATTTAATTTATCCACAACCCATCAGTCAAAAGTATCCCACAGAATGGCAAACAGAAAATGAAAAAGTAAATGATGACAATGCCACTTTAATTAATTAAACAACAAAATGGAGTAAATTGGAAACCAAAATTGCTGATTTTGAAAAAAAAGAAAATGTTCATTATAATCACAGGTTTGGTATTTTAACATATTATACAAGTCAGTTTTGGTGAATAAATCCCTGTTTTTTAAATCATCTGACAGCGTCAGCCCCTCAGTTTGGTTAGCAGGAGAATGGCTTTACAGGATAGAACAACAGGTTTTTAAAACCTTTGCTTCTGATAAATAAGCAAAGATTAAATATATATATTTAGTGCATCTTTAAATGTTTCTCCATTTAACAAAATCAAGAAACTACAATAGCACCTTGGATTACTAAAGCCTTTATCAGTGAATAATGGAAATAAAATAAATTTCTTAGTACAATTGTAACAAAGGTTTCTAAAGCGATTGTTCCAATTATTTTGTAAATTGTGTCAAAATCTATATCTCTGTGAATCTGTCTGCAATATAATATAGCTGAGGATTTTACACAACGCCATATGGACCTCTCAAATGTGTTACTTTCAAACAGGTTTTGCAGGTGTCAGATATATTGCCGTTTTGAGATTTCTAATTTAAAGGAACACTATAGTCACCTAAATTACTTTAGCTAAATAAAGCAGTTTTAGTGTATAGATCATTCCCCTGCAATTTCACTGCTCAATTCACTGTAATTTAGGAGTTAAATCACTTTGTTTCTGTTTATGCAGCCCTAGCCACACCTCCCCTGGCTATGATTGACAGAGCCTGCATTAAAAAATTTAAATTATAGAATGTTCAAATATTCTACATTTACATAAATAAATATATATATATTATTTTTTTGTCTTCTTGCTCAATCTTGTATTTCACTTTTTTTTCACATAAAGCCATAGGTGATTTAACAATTAAATGCCCAAAGAAAGGGTTTGTACCATATGCTCAGCATGGACAAACTCATTGATCGAAGAATTTGAGTGACTTCTACACAAGGGAGGAGACAAAAATGTCATGACATTGTTTAATGCTTATTTAAAGGAACACTCCATAACCATAATCATTAAAGCGTTATGTTAGAAGTGCCATGGGAAATCTCATGATAAGTAGTCAGACAGTTTTTCTGCAGTTTGACAACTTACCAGAGTCTCTCTGGGCACCATCGGCCTCAGTCCACTTCCAGTTTTCTCCTGCAAGAGAATCCAGTAAGCTATACCGAGCTATGTTGGACTGCGCTTATTGCTTTCAGCCAATCACCATGGTCCTGTAATTCAACAGACATCCAGCTTCTCCTGAAGAAGGCCAGATGCAGCCTAGGTGCCTAGGGTACCCAGGTAAGTTGTCAAAAACATTAACATTTTTGACTACTTACTGTGTTGGAAGGTGCTAGTTTTACTACTGTCACAATAACCACTTCAGCGGGCTGTAGTGGTTATGGTGTTTGGAGTGTTTCTTTAATTTATTGGTGTGTAACTAGAGGAGGTGTAGCAAGAGGATCAAATAAGTTGTAATGTGTTGAGACTAGCCATGTGAAATGGAGGGTACTGGGCTTACAGGACAAAATAACAGATCATTTTTTATGTAACCGCTCCCAAGACAATATATAAACTATTCTTACACCAAGGTTCCAAATGATGTAATTACACTTCTGACACCATCACAGTCTAGATTTGAAGGATATCTGTAGTTCTACTGTAATTTGACCTCACTTCAATTATTCTTCAGTGTATTTCTACTCCTGCAAAAGAGTAATTGTGATTTCCATTTGCACGAAATAGCCTAATTTATTAAGACCTACTGAGTAAATTTACATAAAACTGAAAAAAAAGGAATTTAGTCCCTTCAACGTGCCATTATGGTGTAGGTTTGTGTGTTCATGTCTAATTGCACAGTGATACATTCCTTGTCATTTCTCTAGGTATTATTCGGGGGTATGTCGGGATATGTTTCTTTTTAAGTGCCTGTTGCTGGTAGATTACAAATGATTCTCCTTTCTGTCCTCTAAAAGGCGATAAACGTTTCAAGCAGCAGGGACAGAACACAAAATAATCACTTTAAAAAAATAAAAAATAAAAATAAAATCTTGACCAGCTGCAGTAAAATCAATAGTCATTTGTCTCACTTCTGATGGAGCCATAGCATCTGCACAGATGAAGAATCACAGAATGAGAGAAAGGTGGCAAAACTGAATTGGTTGAAGGTGATTCAGACATTCGGCATGCAGAGAATGACAGTACATACAGGTTGGTAAAGTGCATCTACACAATCCCATCATGAGTGTCAATTACTTCCCTATAAATTAAGCAGAATAGACTTCTTTTTATAGACATTCTTCATGTTAAGGGTCAGAGGAGATCACAGTTAAAATTTGGCAACGGAATAGAATTCCGAATGGGATACATTTTCTTTGCTGTAGGTGACATTAATCCATAAGAGATGAAGCAGAACTACATGGAGAAACTAGAATTCCACATTCCCTTTTATAAAAAAAAAAATTATTTTTCTTAAATATTAAATAACCAAGTATACGGTCAATTTGCAGGTCCTTACACGCACTGCATGATTTGGTTAGCTGCCTGTAGAAACAGGCGCAAGTTGAAGTAAAGGTTGCCCGCTGCCAGACGGAGGATCTGTGCGGAATTTCATTCTCCCTCTCTGCGGATGGTCCTCTACTGGTCGTACTGAGACGATGAACCTTCGCCTGAAGGTCTCACACAAGATGATGTAGATAAAGGGGTTTATACAGCTGTTTGCATAGCCCATACTGATTGCCACGCAGTAAGCGTAGTGAAATGCTAATGTAGGTTGGTTCATCACCAACTGGATTATTTGCAGTACATAGAATGGGGCCCAACAAATAAAGAAAACCAAACAGATGGCTATCGCTGTCCTTGTAACCTTCTTTGTCCTGATTCGTGAACTCCTTTGAGCCGTTAGAGCCTCGGAAGTTGCCATTTTCAGCAAGATTCTTCTGTATGCCAGGGAGATTACTGCAAACGGAATAGCAAATGCCAGAAAGAATTGATACAATGTGTACCAATATATATCACTTTCTGGGTTAGGGAGGGTGATTCCACATCCCAGGACTCCTCCAGGCAGAGAAATGAGTCTAGCATACATCCATACTGGGGTAATGCTGAGCAGGGACAGCACCCAAAGGATACATATTACCATGATAGCAATGGGTGGCTTTCTGTACTTGGCCGATGTAAAGGGGTAAACGGTGGCAAGGTATCGATCTATAGACATGGCTGTGAGTATATATGTGCTGGTAAACTGACTGTTGGTGTCCAGAGCTGTGATAAGGGTGCACATGGTCTCTCCGAAGTGCCAAACTCCATTTCCGAGCAGTTGGTGGATTAAGAAGGGCATTCCAAGCAGGAAGAGCAGGTCGACCACAGAGAGGTTAATAATAAATATATCGGGAACACTGCTGGTGCACCGGAATTTCGACTTCTTGAACACAGTGTAAATGACAACACTGTTGCCAATGATACCCAACAAGCAGATGATTCCGAATACAGTTGGCATTATAACATTAACATAGGTGACATTGCTGCTAGGATCTGTAATGACAAAGAGACAATATGTAAGTCACAATTCACATAGAAACAGACAGCAACAAAACTTTCTATGAAAGAGACAGTTTTCATGCTGATTTCCAGTAAGCTTGCTGAAGCTCTCCACATTTATTTGAGCTGTACCTATCTCCACATTAAGCAATTTAATACTGTGGTATTCATAGTTGAACAATAGCAGGAGAAATAACAATTTGTTATCCATGTCATAAAGGTTTTAAAGGGACACTCCAGACCACTAATTCACATTAGCTTGCTGAAGGGCTTTAAGTGTGAAGAGTGTGTCCTCTTTTTTTAATTTTACAAAAAGTGCAGATTTGAATAGAAATGTTATTTTTTTTTATAAATTAACCTTGTTACACCCCCCTGGCTGTGTGGAGCTAAACTCAAGAGGCAAGAGGCAGCAATTGCTCAGAGCACCTGCCTTGCAAAAACCTCTTAATGAGCAGCAGCCGACACAGACCGAACCTGCAACCTGATGAACCACAGCAATGGGGCAGCCAAGCACATGGCATGTCTAAATAGGCGGCGGCAAGCCCACCATGCGAGAAAAGTCATCTATCTGAGGTGGAGGCTTACAGCGACGTCCAGCAGCATCTAGATGTAATTTTTGCCCGATTCTGGATCAAGCAAGAGGAGCGGCAGCGAGCACCTCAGGCAAAACTACAAACCCCACCATCTGAGAGCGAGCAGAGCCATGAACACAGGGTGAAGAGGGGGGCACCCTCAGGCCTAACAAAGGTACGACCTACCCCTACTCCTCTTCATGGCCCACCTGAAGGCCATGCGGGTGCGAACCCGGCAGCATCGCCAACGAAAGCGGAGGTCCGCACGCAAGCAGCAGCACTCCATCAGCCCCTCCGTCACTCATAAGCGAGGAGAGACCTCCGGCATGAGAAGCCGAAGAGGTTGTGGCCAGGAGAAGCCAACGAAAGCCCGGGGCTGGAGGGATGCCCTCGCCGGCTCCTGGGATGCTGCAGCTCCCTGCAGACTTCCGACAGGCCCAAGCTGCCTCCCCACAAGAGGCATCGGATAAAACGGTCGCTCTGACCCAAACATCCAGCACATCCCCTGCTGGGCCATTAAGCTGTTACTATATATGTCTTCTGTTTATGCTTACACATGTTGGGGTATATTTACATTGTCGCACACCACCATGGCCATGTGATAGCAAACTCACTGTTTATCTAGGATGTCTATCCATAATCACACCTCTTTATCATCCTCTTGTCTGATATAACTTGCCTAGACAGCTTGGATTATGACATAGGTTCAGCTACATGTATCTAGCCTGTTTTGGATAGGTGTCTTTGTGTTATAAAATTGAAGCTGCCTTACTAATACTCAACAGTTATAATCGAAAACACAGTTTACAGTCACTCAGTCAAGCCCAATTCTCACTACTATCTGAGATTCAGCACACAGTTTGGTTTAGTTAGTCAGCCTATGATTTTGTACTAAGATTTTCTAGGCAGGCATTATTTTGGTCCTGGGGGGTTTCTCTGGACTTAGGGTCTGTCCATACTGAGTCTGCCCTTGTTTCCTCCCTCTCCCCTATTTTTACTTATAAGTTTACAGGTTCCTTTTTGCCTGCCTTAATATTAGTGGGGGGCTTTCTATGTAACATACACCCTGGGTTGTATAATTTATACAGCTTATGTGTCCTGAGATTTGGGAGCCACTGCTGGAATGAATGGCTAGACCTCCTCTTATCCCTTACCATTAAGGGACACTCTTTGCTGTTATATTGGATAATAAGCTGTGGGAAGCATAATGTGTAGATAGGGTTTCTTTGTTTATTCTCTTCCACCTTCTCTATCCTTCTACCCACTTACAAGTGAACCCGCCTCCCCCCTCCCCCCCTTTTTCTTATCATCTGGTTACTATACCGCTTATTCTGTGTGCTCAGAAGCTACTCCTGGGATCCCCTTGTTTCAAGGGTCTCCGTTATTTATTAATTATTTCTTTGGGTTACCCCCTATATTGTAGCTCTGTAAGATAGATTCCACCATTTCACACATTACTGTGACTGTGGGGATCTATCTCTCTATTCTCTTTTACATATACTGACGCATGCCTATCTTTATCTCGTTTTGTTTTTATATCGCGCCAGTCACCTAACCTGACCAAAAAAAGAATTCTCCTGGTGGGCAGGTTATTATAAATTGACGTTTATGTTGTCACTAGATTGAACTTCGTTTTAATCATATCGTTTGGATAATAGTTAGACACATTCAGATCCACCATGTCATTTATATATATAAAAAACGGTACAATTTTTCCTGATATCGTATGTCATATCACTGCGCTTTATACTGCCTTATCTTTTACAACGTTTATTTAAGCATGTACACCTAACCCTGCACTGAAAAATGAAGAATTAAAACATTTTTTTTTTAAATGATATGTTTCATTGCATTTTCAGTTATTCTATGTAAATACATATCCGATATCAAATTGTGGAGCTACCATTATGTGGGCAGTAAGTGTTACACTAATGTAACACATATCTTTTTCGCTCCTGTCTACACCCAGAGCCCTTATAAGATATGCACTCTGCTTAGGAATACTTCCTTAAATACAGTGCTGGAATAACCATAACGTGGCTGCCTAGGGTCCACAGGTTAGATAGAGGCCCAGGAACCATACATTTTATTGACCCTGTTAACCATCCATGTGAAGAATTGGGGGGAGATTGATAACCTGCCTAGGGCCACGTGAGATCATGCCCCTCTACGCCATAATTGTTTCAATGCCAGCACATCAGCTTCAGAATTAAGTAAGATCGGACACTTCATTCTAATATTCCTTTGGCCAATGAAATACAAGTGCACTTCAGGAATAGGCTGAGCAGCTACAAAGCATGCACTGTAGTTTCTGTGACAAAGAGCAGGAGAACCGACCATAGATGCGATACTATTTGCATAACCCAGTATGCCAGAGATTGATTGATAGGTGAGGGGAAGTAGGATATAGTTTTTGTATTTATTGAAAGATCTATACATATGCTACAACAATAAAGATGTGAATTGTATGCTCTCTTTCATAGCTGCATTGAAAGATGGGCTAAAAAAAGACTAGAGAAAGTCCATCAAGCTTAACCTTTCACACATCTCAAATTTCTGCTGTTGACTAAAAAGAAGGTGAAAAACGCAATTTGAAGGGATTTCAAATTTTAGTTTAAAATGAGGAAAACATCCTTCTTGAAGTCTGGCACTTATTGACTTGAAAGTCAGAATTCTCCTTGGAAAAATCAGTTTTTTTATAGGTTGACAGGTCTATCACATTCGAATGAATTAATGGATACTTCAGCGTTTAGCTCCACGGGTTCTCTAGTCACACTTGAAAAGACACATTCTGCACCAAAAATATAAGCTCTTTAAGCTCCTAAAATACAGTGAGTCCTGTAAGTACATTCATCTCAGGAATATTGCTAGAATCGAAAATAGTCTGGATGAAAACATCAACAGAAGTGAGCCCCATGTGCACATTTGTACTTCAGCTCGGCTAATGCAAAGAAATTTCATTAAAGGGAAACTATAATATTAGAAATAAAAAGCTGTAATCCTAACAATATAGTGTCCCGTGCAGTGGTGTATTTTGGAATTGTGCTGCCCTAGGCTTGACTAAATTCGGGCACCCCCCTAATCTAAATTTGCCTCACCAATTTTATTTCAGGGCCATTTTTTTGACTGACAAACACACGCCCTCATTGATACATGCACTGACATACACTCACTGACATACCCACTCAGTCATTGGCACACATATGCAGTCATTGGCGCACACGCTTTCACTGAGACACACACTGACACACCCACTCACTGACAGACGCATACACTCAGATACACATACACTGACAGACACACGGACACACACTCACAGACACACACATCCTAACTGATTTGACACACTCTGACAGACACACAAACATTCACTCAGTCACAGACACACACTGACAGCTTCATGCACTTACTCAGACACACATACACAGATTCACAATGACAGACACACAAACATTCACTCACTCACTCACAGACACACACTGACAGCTTCATGCACTCACTCAGACATACATACGCAGACTCACAATGACAGACACACAGACTCACAATGACAGACACATACTCACTGACTGGCACACACACACACGCACACACACACACTCACTGACTGGGACACACACACATTTTCTCATATACTCATTACACTCACAAATTATTAATATTATTTTTTTTAAATTTAAATCCACCCAGCCTCCCTACCTTAGGGAGAGCTGGAGTGGATGCTGTCACTGACAGCTGCTGGGCTGGCTTGGCAGGCTCCTTGTTGGCTCCTGCTGACTAGGCAGGGGCTGCTGACTGGGCTGGCTCTATTGGGGCTGCTGGCTCTAATGGGACTGCTGGCTGGGCTGGCTCTGTTGGCTGGGCTGACTCTGCTGGCTTTGCTGGGGCTGCTGGCTGGGCTGGTTCTGCTGGGGCTGCTGTCGCTCAATGGAGGTGGTGAGGTGACTGAGTTCTTATTGCTTAGCTCCCTCTGCACCGCTTAGTGATGCCAAGGCCAGAGTGACATCATATTCCGGCTCCTGGCATCACAGAAGGGAGCGCAAGGGAGCAAGAAGAGCGGAGGACAGCACTCCCTCACCACCCAGATAGAATATTTGTAGTTTAAAACCATGGGGGAAGGGCCTAAGGTAGCCAGACAGCTCTTGGACCCACCAGGGCACAAGGCAAACAAGGCATTTGCCTGGATGTATGGGTTGGCATTTTTTGCTGTTCCCCCCACACCCCGAAAGTGCCGCCTTAGGCAAATGCCTTCTTTGCCTTGTGGTAAATACAGCCCTGGTCCCATGGTCACCCTCCTCCTCCCAGTCTCTCCTCATGTTCATGTAAAGTGTAAAAAACCCTTTAAACACTTACCCGATTCCAGCGCCAATGTCCCTCGGTACTGGATTGGGCTCCTCCTTCTCCAACATTAGCTCAATGAGAGAACCTAATTCACATATGTGGCAAGCGCCGTGCATTAGGCTTTCGCCCAGTGGCAGAACTACCACTTTGTGTTGCTTTAACAACGTGACCAGGCCCCCTTTGATGACATCAGAGTGCAGGTCACTTCCTCCCTTCAATCACAGAGCCCACGTGGGAGGAAGAGAGGAAGGAGTCAGAGTGGGAACTCTGACTCCCATCAGCCTGAGCCACTGGTCCCCAGGGAAAGTCACCCTCCTGCACCTAAAAGGTAGGAAACAGGAGGGTGACATTTTGCATGTGTCTGTGTGTGTGCACGTGTATGTTTGTGTCTCTGTTTGTTTGTATGTATATGTGTGTGTGTCTATATGTATATGTCTCTGTGTGTATGTGTGTGTGTCTGTATGTATGTGTGTGCTTGCGTGTGTGTATATATGTCTCTCTGTTTGTGTGTGTCTGTATGTATGTGTCTCTGTGTGTATGTCTGTACGTATATGTATATGTCTCTGTCTGTGTGTATGTGGGTGTGTCTGTATGTGTGTGTCTGTATTTATGGGTGTCTGTGTGTATGTTTGTGTGTGTGTCTGTATGTATGTATGTATGTATGTCTGTGTGTATGTGTGTGTCTACATGTGTGTGTGTATGTATGTGTGTCTGTATGTATGTGTCTGTGTGTGTGTCTGTATGTATGGGTCTCTGTGTGTATGTGTGTGTGTTTGTATGTATGTGCCTGTGTGTATGTGTGTATGTATGTATGTATGTGTGTGTTTGTGTGTCTGTGTGTATGTGTATCTCTATGTATTTGTATGTGTGTTTGCATGTATGAATGTGTGTGTCTGTGACTGTGTGTGTATGTATGTGTCTACATGTATTTGTGCCTGTATATGTGTGTCTGTGTGTGTGTCTGCATGTGTGGGGGGCAGGGACATATGGGGTCGGGGGTAGAAGTATGGGGGGCGGGACGTGTGAGGGGGCAGGGACATATGGGGGGTAGATGTATGGGGGGTCCAGGTCAATTTTCGCACTGGAGCCCTGTGGTTTCTAGTTACACCTCTGCCTTCGCCATAGGTAG